TCTGAGATAGGGAGAAGCCCCTTTGCTATGGTCAGTATTCTACACTGGATACCTCTTTGTTTCAAACTGAGCTCCAGCAGCAAAGCTTAGAGATTCCTTGACTAGAATTACTTAAATCTTTTGTGTAAAAACAAAATTTGGCTCAGAAATGCTAAAGTCTTTGGCCATGTATTCTTCAATAAGAAAACCCAGAGTTTGTAATGCAAAATATTGCTCCTAAGAAAGCAGAATTCTTTTATTAAAACTCATACTTTCTTCCATTTTTAACTGAAAAAAAGACAAAAAATTACAGGAACATGCCAGAATTTTTCCCTTAATTTAGGAAACATTAGTTTATATTACTGTATATGATTCAGAGGTATAGGATCGCACTTCTTTAGTTGTATGTTGCCACACTAAACCTTCCACCAAGGCACCTGAGTTTTCAACTATATAGTCCACTATGTCTCCTCTCCACTTTGTTCCCCTCTTCACTCTGCTAGCCTCAACTCTACCAACAGATTTCTAAAGTAGAAATCTGTTTATTCTCTATATACCACATATAAGTGAAACTATCCAGTATTTGTCTTTCTCCTTCTGGCTTTTTTCATATAGCATAACCCCCCTGCAGTTCTATACATGTCAAAAAATTGTGACAGAATATTTTAATCTGTTTTACAATAACTAGTACTGTACCAAGTGTGAAGTTGTAATTTAGTCAGATCATACATTTGCATGTAAGGAAGATGAATCATAACTGCTCGCCTTACAAGTATCATCACTGTTATACCAGGTATGCTTTTCCCAAAAAACAAAGGAAGATATTTATAATTAGTGGAGAACTTGATCCTTAAAGGTTTTACTTTATTTACTTGAAAATAGTAGATATGCTAAAGAACAGACCAGAGAAAATCGAAAACTTATCTGTACCTAAGAGAGATGAAAACAAATACTTTATATATGAACACACATCTAGGTACTTGGTTTAGAAGTAAAATGTTCATATTGAGATGCAGTATGCTACCCTGGAATTAACAATAGGCTAAGAGTCAAGAACACTAGGTTTTAGTTGCTTTGAATCATAAATATTTGTTTAAGAACATTGATATACCTCCTTGGTCCTAAGTTCTTTAAAGAAAAACACTTGATTTCAAAGTTGCCTTCTTACTGTAGTGTTATATATATTTCATGTTTTATATTCTAACATTTCTTTCTATAATTAACTAGACAGCAATAATTTTCAGTATTTCTATACCTAAGTTATTGTTAACTTTCTGGGATTATTGCTCAGTCTTCTCAGGTATATAAAGAAACAATTCATGAGACGTTACAGTTCTAAGTTAGTTCAAGATTCAGTGGTTCTGGAACTCTAAGGAAAACATGGGCTTTTCTCCATGGATTTCAGTAATTGTATGTGTCATGGTATTTTCAGAGACAATATAGTTGGGATTTCAGAGAACTGTCTTTTAGTTCCTCTATCCCATAATTTTTCTACTCAGTGACTGATTGATGAGATTCAAGTTGTGAGTTTCATTTATCTTAAATAAAAATAAACTATGAAGGTTTGTTCACTAAATGCTAACATTGCTGGTAGAGAATTTTTAAAGTGCAGAGAGAATGATTTTCTAATCCTTTTTCTAGGGCGAGATCTCTTACCGTCAGTAAGGTAGTAACAGGCTATCCTTGACTCATACAATTCAACTTAGAGATTTTACACTTAATATGTCAGTTAGCTCTGTTATAAAACATATGCACAAAATCCTTTAGGAACATGGAGAAGTAGAATTTACAAGCTAGGAAAAGAAGTGGACATCAGGAACTTCATGGGGTAGAAACTTTGTAAGTGTAGTCTTTAAGAACACATAGTGGGGGGAATGGAGAGATGTTGGTCAAAGGGTGTAAACTTTCAGTTATAAGTTGAATAAATTCTGGGATCTAGGGTATGGAATGATGACAACAGTTAACACTGCATTGTCTACTTAAAATTTGTTATGCTCTCACTCTTCCCCACACAGAGTTATATGTAGGGGATGTTAATGACAGATTTTCCATTTAAATAGATTATTTTGGCATCAAATTGAGAATAGGCTAGGAGGTTGCCTGAGAGGAGGGGGGAAATGAAGCTTTTAAATTAATCTAGGACATTAATAATAAACATCTAAACTAAAATAATGCGGGGTCTGGGATGAGAGAACTAGGAATGAATTTGAGAGGAAATAGAAGAAACAAGATTGTAGAGATAAAGAAAATAAGTTAACATTAGTCATAAAAATTTGCTAGCAGCAGATATATATATTTGGCAAATGAATTTGGAGTTCAGGCAGGAACACAGATTTAGAAGTTAATTAGTAAGTGGTGCATGAAACCACTGGCATGGATGGAGTTATCTAAAGCAAAAGGTGTGAAATGTGAATTATCCTAAGGAACAAACTCTAAAGGAGACGATTACCACATTGTCTTTTCTGCACTACTCTGAGATGTATGGGCATTATTATGTATCTTTGTATATATAGGTAGGACTTAACATACAATCTGACATTAGTAAATTGTTCATTAATATTTGGGCTGTATCTTTCTATATGGAGTTATTTTCTAAATACTTCACTAGAGTACCCAACAGGTTTAATTGCAATACTCTTGTGTTAAAAATTGAACTTGATGCAACTCAAAGATTAAATGCAAACCTCTCTTTTTATTTTTCACCATCACAGGTAAAAACACTTGACAAGGAAGTTAATAACCCATGAAGAGTTTGCTTATTTATGAGTGACAAGTGATTTGATAAACACATGAAGGGGAAATAAGTATATAAAGGGAAAAGCAAATTCACTGACAGTATTCTTTTAATATATATATATA